GTGTTAGACACATGCGAACGTTATTTTGTAAAATGACTACATGCAAACAAGTGCGAACATAGGGGAGGGAGGGGGTCTATAAATCTTAAAAAGTGCGAACGTAATATGTGAACGAAGCCTTTCTATTATTTTGTAATTGAGATTAATTACGTAAAACAAACACAAAATCAATTCTCAAAAAGCAATTGTCAAATATTTGTGAAATTAAAAATTATTTGTCGCTATTATCTGTAGCCATACCACACCCTAATCCCCATTGAGAAGAGCAACTGTGCAGAGGATGTGCCCATTATTGCCATACAATTAGCGCTATCCAGTTAGCGAGCAAACTCCAAACCGATCATCACATCAACCAAAAAGTCGTATTCAACTGTTTTTTCTAACGTTAAACAAATACTAAAATAGAAGTTTAAGTGTCCGACAATCTCAGCCTTTTTCTCACTTTTTCTCCACTCTTTCATTCATTCGTAGAGTTATTCATAATTAAGTCCTTATATTCTGTTCAGTCATCGCTTATCGAAAGCCACACAAAGTTATCGTTTTTATCATTAGTTTCCAATTAAATCAATTTGAAAGTCGTTTTGGGAATTGAGTGCAGCTATTATGCCGTCCACAGCAACAGTTCAGGTCCGACAGACCACCACAACCACCACAGCCAGAGCCTCAGTATTGGTGATCAATACGGGATACCTGTCAACAAAGCTGGGAATCATTAAACTACTGCTTTTGGTAAGGGTTTCCCTCTGCTCTTCATTTGGATAGACATTTGGATACATTTATGACTTGTTTTATATTGTTTATCATAACGACTATATTTAGCGCATTTTAATGAACTTCATATGAATTCAACCGAAAAATATTTTGTTTTAAACCGATTGAAGTAAAACTCGAGCAATAAATTACAGATATTTATTCATTTTAACAATTTATAGCAATTGAAAGATCAAATTATGTGGAATACTATTGGATTTCAAATATATGCTATGTTTATGAGATTAAAAATATTTAAAATAAATTGTTTATTAAAATAAAATGTGATAAATAGATATTTTCAGATCAAAGAGAGTCCAAATTGGGGGTACTTTTGAAATATTAATATAATATCAGTTCTAAAAGACATTAATCATTCATATGTTTACAACTTTTTTGCATTTTTTCCGAGAATTTTTACAAAAAGTCGTTTGAGTTTTGTCTTAATTTTATTAACTATTGGATAACAAATTTATATTAAATATTTATTATTGTAATTGAATTTAATGTTTTTTATTTAGGAATTTTTGACTTGTGAAAGAAAATAGGAGACTAATATAAATATATTGTTCTCTTTATGATTTTCGTATAAGAATACATTCTGATTTTCGTTGAGAAAAGCGTTTGTTATAGATTTAAATCTAGTTCATAACCCAAAAGCTTATACATCAGACATGACTTATTCGGGGTTTTATGTGAAATGAGCTCATATTTATTTTAATCTGATATTTATTTAATTTATTAAATATACAGTAAAATACGCCTCTCATTATTTACCCTAAAATTTATCTAAAGATCAATTGATTTTCTGTAGACAATACAATAATTATCGCATATTTATTTAAATGTCAAATACTTACCCCCATTATTCAATGCACAACCCATCCAGATAGTCTCTATATGACTATATCAATAATTTATGTAATTAATTTAATTTAAAATATTTCGTGACTACTTTGTCTGTATCTTTCATTTTAACATAAGTGTCAAAAACTAAAAATGTTTTAAATTATCGATAGATTTTTTCGTTGATTTGTTTCGTTCTGCTCCTTCTGGATGCGGACAAGTCATCCGGGTATTGGTATTTACCGCCGGAGCAGTTCTTAGTGTTGGTTTGCTTTGCCAATTGGTATACCATTACCATTATGTTAATATCGGCGCTGTTATCATTGGGAACGGCTTGTATTTTGCCGAAAACCAGTTTTGTAAGTTATATCCAATAACTTTACAAATCTATTAATTTTTATTGTTTTATATATTCGTATGAAAACTAGGAATTTATATTTCATTTCCTTGGATTCGTGCTATTCTTGATCGGAGGCCTTTGGGTGGCTATCGGAGCGTTCAAACACGAGAATCGCACCGTTAATATCCAGGTGGCATGTGTGAGTGTAATATGTTATACAATATCAAATCACTGTATATTCTGTTATTTCTATTACATTCAAATTCTTTATGACTTTTTTGCGGTAGATTTTGGCACTTATTTGCGGAATCCTTCATTTGGTTCACGGAATCTTCTCTTACAGACTCTGTATTACAAATTGACACAAAATTGACAATTAATTGCAGAATTGCATACATTTATTGCTTTAATAATCGGTGATTATAAGAATATATATATAATTCACAGCAGAATTTTGGGCGTTATCATGAATTAGTAGTTTTATATAATTTAGTGGTATTTTCTGGTTTTGCAGTATTTTCAATTTATAGATATAATAATAGTAAATATTACAAAAATATTTTAATATAAAGCCCAAAAATCTGAATATAATTGCTGTTGCTTTGGAAATGTTGCAAAATTTTGATGCATTAATTAGTTATAAATTGTTTGTTTTATTTAATTTTATTTATAGTCAAAAGGAGAGCACATTTTTTGGATGAATTTTTCAGATGAAATTTAATTTAAATCAATTAATTGATGGTTTAATTGACGCCAATTCACAACTAATTATCCAAATCAAGCAAAACAACTAATTTATAAGAGCTTTGTGTCAATGAGTTTGATAAAATTGCCTTAATTTACATTAATGTCAAAATTACTTATAACTATTATATACCGGTATATGAATATTCGCCCACATCTTATTTATTCATCTCATTTTATTCATTTTATATTAGATCTAGTAATTATTATATAAAATTATTGTTTATAATTTATGTATTGGTATAATATTGGAGTAAAATTTATCATAATTAATTAATTTATTATACATTTATAGCTATTTTTGCTTAAAATCAATTAAGAATCTGAACCTTATTTACTGAAACAAAATATACCAAATAAATCAAAATCATTAATACTCTTATTATAACTGATATAATCATATACTAAATGTTATTATTTGAAGAATTCTCAACATTTTGTTTAAATTAAATTAAATTAATATAAAAATTACTTAAAAGTATACAAAATCAAAGTTTGTTAAAAAATAACATTTGCATAAAATACATTTAGTTTGTCTTATACGTGATGTTTAGATTTTTATATGGAAATCAATGTTAACTGCAAGCAATGTATTGTTTTTGTGCTTAATTTTAATGAACAAATAAATAAATATTATTTAATTTTAAAAAATTTGCAAAGGCCTTTTTAATTTTAATTATTAAAATTTTCCCGGAATCTCACTACCGTAATAGTTTTCAGCAACTATTACATATCTTAATTTTGGCCATGGTCATATAAAAAATGTTTACCTGCACATCTTTTAACTATATATTACAACATTTATTTATTAAAAAATTTAAATATTTAGTAAAATATGAAAATTTTATAAATCAAATTAATTGAATACTTACTGTTTAAAAGTTAACTCTAACTTAATTCAAAACTTTATATTACAGTAACAACAAATGCAAAGTTTATGTAATTTATGAATGAATTGAATGTAAATTATTGTTTATAAACACAGAAAAGTTGCGAAACTTTTATCTATGTTTTGTCGAAATCATTGTTAAAATAAATTGAATACAAATTTATAATTAAATTATTGACAAAATGAGTGAAAAGAAAGGCGTTTTGTTCGTGTGTTTGGGAAACATCTGTCGGTCACCGATAGCTGAGGCCGTCTTCAGTCATGTCCTCAAACAACGAGGTCTTGAAGAGAAGTGGTTCACAGACAGCGCCGCCACAGGTATTACCATTGCGTGACTATTAATGACACAATTAATGATACAATGAACTGATGGACAGGCAATTGGCACTCAGGACACAGACCCGACTCACGAGCGCTCACTGTTTTGCGAAGACATGGCGTCCACACCGACCACAGGGCCCGACAGATATGCGACGAAGACTTTGACCGGTTTGAGTACATCTTCGGAATGGATGGCAATAATATCGATGATATCAACGACGAGAAGCCCAGAGGCAGCAAATGTGTGGTCGAGTTGTTGGGCAAATACGACCCCCAGAAGCAGACCATCATTAAAGATCCCTATTATGGAAGTGGCGATAAGGGCTTTGAGACCAATTATGAACAGTGTTTGCGTTGCTGTAATGCATTTTTGGATCAGTTTCAGTGATGTTTTTTGCTTCTTTTGTTTGATATCTCTATATCTGAGAAATTTTTTTTTGTGTAATTTAAAACGATTTTTAAGTTATATGTTTGAAAAGTAATTAAAGCGATAATTATGTTTGCCATCAATAATAGACAATACAATCACTTGAAGTGTTGAACACATAATTTTTTATTAAATTCATTGTTTTATAAAAAAAATATAAAATCAGATAAACTTTTCTACTGTTTACCGAATTTTTGTACTTATTTTGAAATCAGTTTTGACGGCAATTAAATATAACCAATGAGTGTTTGGCTTGAATTCTGTCTAATATTTTTTATTATTGTCTCATTTATTAATTTATAACTAGATTTTCACGAATATGTTGTCAATATACGAATATACTGTATATGGTATTGTAAATTTAGATGTATTTCAATGTTGGTGTTTAAATGCAAATAATTTGAAGTGCATTTAGAATAAACATTTAATGGTTCACTAATTTAATAAATTAGTTAAAAGTATACAAAATTTGCATTACAAATACACAATAATTATTTACGATTTTCTAAATTGATTGATTTTATTAAACGTTAATTAATTGAAATAATTACAGAATTAGTGAAATCGCTAAATAAATGAATCATTCAATCATATCATGCATTCAATGATGAGTTAAACTTTAAAACTAATGATAATTTAAGACCAATTGGTGAGTGTTATTAAGTGTCATATCTAGTGGTCACCAGTTTTAAGTAACATAATTACTGTTTTCCTCATATACTGTACAATACTTTATACTAACAGATAAGATGAAGGGAAGGGTGTGACGGGTCGGGAGTCCACCGAATCGGATGACTATTTGGTTCGCAAGATATTAATGTAGGGGTAATGCCATTGATATGGCTATGGGTTGTGAAATGTTAATACAAAATAGATTATGTCATTCCTATAGGCGTTTAATTGCAAAATGTATTACGAAATCAATTTTTAATCAAAAAGTCCTAAAAACAAGTTTTTATAACTTATTTGAACCAATAATGTACTTAATTGCATGAAGTCATAAAACATTAAACTTAAATTTGAAACAAGGTTTGTAAGCAAAGTAATAAGTTAACTTCAATTTTTATTATGCAAAACACAAATTAATTAATTTTGAAATGTATTTTTCACATTTTAAACTATTTTTAACATTTTGTATAATACAATTAAATATTAGCCATAGAGTTAGCATAGTCAATAGGAGTAACTTTAAGTTATACATTAGATAAAAAGTTACATATAGAATTATCATTGCCATAAACTCATTTGACCATTTAAATTATTTACTAAAATGTTTCCAATGAACTAATACTGCAGTTTTATGCTAAATCATAATTAAAAATAAAAAAAAGTTTTAATAAATTGACACAAATTAAACAGGGATTATAAAATTAAATGGAATTAGCATTAAATAAATAGTTGTAATCCAATAAATAACAAACACATGTATCTTTCAGTATACGAGTATTATTTGTTCAATTATTAATTGTCTTACAATAACTGTATATATTAGAGCTAAATATAGTTGAATTACTCATTGAGATAACGAATCCGTTATAAAGTGAAGATAATTAATGCTATATTTTACTAAAAATATCACAATTAAGATAACTGTGAGACCAGACTCTGATCCCAACTCTGAAGCCACGAACATAATTGAAGTTCACTTTAAATCTTGATATTAAAAAGTATATAAAGATACAAATTGTTGTCTCTCTGGTATCCATTCGTTTTTCTTGAGTTAAAAAGTTGATAGAAATAATTGTTGGCAATAATGACGACTCAATCGACCAATTATTATGAAAGTTTTCAGGACTTTCTGGACGACGTCCAGTACTCTAAACACGGCGTCAAGAAATACGAGTGGATCTTCGGAGAGGGATATCTGTCCACTGGCGGACTCGAGACCACTAAAGAGATTATACCGCTTCTGGAGCTGAAGAAAGGTCAGCGTGTGTTGGATGTGGGCTGCGGTTTGGGTGGACACGACTTCTTTATGGCCG